CTACATCTTGACATACAAGTCATCCTTACCCGACGTCCCTTCCAGAAGTAAAACTCCACTACCTACATCAACACCAACAGTAACAGGGCCTAGATCAGGGCTTTACCTCAGACTCAGTCAACCAGTTGTCTACCTCGGCTTCATCAGCAATACATCTTGCCATCCCAGCGCCAATATTGTCATCGACCTTTTAATGCCCCTGCAGGAAGGATTCGCAAAAGGAAACACCGAGGCCTTGATTTCACGACGTATGACCTAGAAAACCACTTATCACCCTACCTGTCTACAAACTTGGCATTGGAGTAACAATTGTAGTTACTTCTAAAGAAATGGGGCGCAAACCTATAGTTGTTGAAGATTTTCTTGCTGACATCCTTGATGTCATCACCGTTCACTTCATCACATCCCCGTGGGATGCCTTTGGGGTTACCAAGCACGCTCATTAGTTCAGACTCCCAATCTTTGATCTGATATCACTAGTGCAATGTGAAGCAGAAATTGAAAGTCTAGATCCGACAATATTTGTAGAAAATCCATTTTATTGCAATGCAATTGCCAAAAATGGACTACATCACCAGATTTTAGAGTCACTATCTAATCTTTTAAGGAAATTAGAAAACTCATGACTCATGCCAGAGGCTACTGTTCGTTATAACCAAAGTGTCTCGGCTCGAGAACTTAGGTATGATAGGGAAAGGTCATTAATTGAGCACCCAGAGGGAAAGGTCATTAATTGAGCACCCCCCTCACCTGATCAAAAGATCGACCTCTATTAAGTCATGATGTGATTTTTATGATCAACATATATCCATGTTCCGATTATTTATTGATGCTAACATTACTATCTGAGGTAATCAAATATAGACTATGTCACTGATTTTGGTTATGTTTTGATTTCATGGATTTTTGAAAAGCCTTTTTGTAAAACTCAGAAAGCATAAGAATCAACCATATTCCAATATAAGCAGCACAACCTCCATCCACTAACATTCAAATAGATATCTTATTTAAGCACTCAGCATCATGGTATTGCAACAAATATAGTAATAGATATGATAAGGAACATGCACATACCAAAAATTCTCACCTAGTACTCTGAGGTGAATTCCAGGAAATGTTTCAATGTATACATATGCATGATCCTATATATAATCAATTAATGCAATACATACACAACATGCCTAGAAGTCCAAATACTAAGATATGGCATGGATATCATATCAAGACATGGGATAACGCATGTATTTAGCTTGAAAATGATCAATTCCATAAATGTAGATGAACTAAACCCGAATGCATGAAAAATGAATGCAATATATAGGTATGATAAATAAGACATGATGCATTACCAAAAGCTTATAAACAAAAGGGTTAGAAAAGGTGTGGGGTTGGAAGATTATTACAACAATCAATAAGAATGGAGGTGGGAGAGAGAGAGAAAGAGAGATTATTACAACACTTTGAACAAATAAAAGATAAGAATGTGGGATTGAAGAAATTATTACAATAATGAATGGATTCAGCCAAATTAGTGTTGAATCTAACAAATCATGTTAAATAAATAGAATAAATTACCCAGCAGCTCCAGAACCACTAAGGAGAGCACTCCTCAGAAACTATTTGCTCCGTTCTTGGGATAATCATCCGACCAGTTATAAAATGGAATGGCCGAATAAGAAAGTGGCTAGCCAAATTATTCCTTTGAGCAGAATCTAGGTTAGTGTAGACTTTCCAAAATAAAGGCTAAGGACACTTTCTAAGGAGTGTTCATCCCTTCTACCTCTACTTCCCACCGGAACCACTTAAAGGAGAGGTAGATGGGCTACAATCCTCAACAATGATATGAACATATATATATATATATATATACACAATAGATATTTGGCTAAAACAGACAAATCAAATGGATCAAAATCAAGAATAAATTCAAGTTGAAGAAATGGATAGGAACCTACATATTCTCTTTGCGAATAAAGGCAAATTAATATCCAAATCCATACTATTAAGTGCAGAGCATAGATTAATGCAAATCATTTATTGGTGGAAGTTTTGCTTTAAAAAACAAGGGATTCAACAAAGTTATTGCAAACTCCTCATCTAGTCATAGAACAATGATGTTTTCACCCTTTTCTATGTTCACCAATGATTGAGAAGGGAGATTTCAATACCCTTTGACCCAAAATCTCTTGTTTTCACTTCCAAAGCAAACAAAAAGAAAGAGAACACAACTCTTTCAATGTCAAATCCCAATAACCACTAAATTAATCTTATAAAACAACCGTTCTGCTCATTATCTTTGAGTATAGGTTGAAAAACATGGATTGATACACTTAAGATGTAGAATATGTGAAGAGGAGGAGTGTAACCAAAAAAAAAAAACTACTTTACTTATTAAACTTGTGAATGGATGGCTAACAACTACTCCCAAATGCATCCACAAGAGTCCAAAATGTATAAGAACTAGGGGTTAGAGTTAAGGAAAACAAGAAAATAAAGGAAAAACTATCAACTCAATGGATGGGTAGCTAAAATTACTCCCTCCACATCAATGAGGACTTACGACAATCACATAATTAAAATAAAGATAGAACTGAAGAAAGAGTAGGAGAAAAATGAGATTTAATCTTGAAACCAGAATTACCGAGTGTGTTAACAAGTAGTGGTTCAACTTCTTGGTGGCCTAGACCAAGGCTAAACATGCCTTTTCCAAAGGGGTATAATGGGTCTCATATTCCAGCATCTTTTTCCTTAGATAATGTATGGTCTTTTCCACTTTCTCTTCTGATTCTTTCACTAGCATGCAGCCCATGGTAGACTCAGTCACTGACAAGTATAGGATTAATGATTTCCTTAGCTCAAGTGGTGACAAAACAAGCAGATTCTGCAGGTACTGCTTGATTTGCTCAGAGGCGAAACTACATCGATCATCCCATTAGAAATTCTTCCCTTTCTTTAGCAAGCCAAATACCTTCTTATAAATTGCACCTTTCCCAGAAAGCCTCGCACCTCTTTTTCATTCATTAGTAGGGGCATTTCTAAGATGGTTTTGATTCTGGATGGGTCGACTTCGATGACGTTGCATGATCAGAAACCCTAACATTTTTTCTACAGTTACCCCAAAGGTACATTTTTATGGATTTAATCTTAACCTGTACTCCTGAATCCTTTCGAAGAACCTTCACAATGCATCATAACAACCCTTTCGCTCCTTGGACTTGACAATCATATCATCCATATACACCTCGACCTCCCTATGGATCATATCGTGCAATATGGTGATTACTAACCTATGGTAAGTGGCTCTAGCATTTTTCAACTCAAATGGCATGACTTGATAGCAGTGAGTTCGCCACTGAGTGGTGAAGGTTGTATTCTCTCTGTTCTCATGTGATGTCCCAAAATCTACACTAAGGGTTGCAGTTAAGGGAAAGTCACTAATGAGTCCTATGGTCAATGACCAAGTCACTAATGGCTGCTAACTTTCTCTAAAATAGACACAAGTCTTCAAATGTCTCTGGCTCTTCGTTGCCCTCGTATGTTTCTTCGATACCTGTCATGAAACGCCATGAGCTTTGAATGCCTAGTAAACGCACACACACCTCGTCCTTTTTTCCCAATCCAAAAAACATGAAATTCAAGTAATAACAAGGGTTGCAAAGTTAGTTGTTAGTAGTCTAAAAATCCTCTAAAGAGATTTTATCCTACCAACCACAAGATTTGGACTCAAATTATTTGGTATGCTCTCTTTTTTGTTGCTTTGTTGCAGACATTACCTCGGATGCCTACCAACAGTTATATACCGCGTAGCACCAACCTCAGGGCCTCAAAAGAGACAGTAAAATAGGGCCTTGCCCATTCCTTCCTCACACCAAAACTACCTAGGGTCCAAATACAACCACTCCATTCAACGGTTCCGAAACAGCCATTTGCGCAAGACTTTAACTTTCAAAAGAGAACACATCCCGCTAACCAATTCAATTTAAACATAACATTATCTCATAACAATACTCATGTGATCAAAACCCCATTAGTCACCCTATCAAGTTTCCCGTTTAGGTTAGTGTTTTAAGTTAGTTAGCACAAGCAATTGAAATAAAATTTTCATAAATATAAACATCATCAAAGGACTAAAATAAAGGTATATTACCATAACACATGCAATATCATACCAAGACATTATCATATACTAATAAGCATATTCATGAAGACAATAGCATAAAACACCAATGCAAAACTAAATTTCCAGATTTAGTACCTATTGAAAGATTAAAATCAAAAGGACCATTTCAGATTTTTCCAAGCTTGGCCTTCCTATGGTTCGTAGAAAATTTTATTTAGTTTCAGAACATTTCTCAAAAATGGAATAGCTTTTCTATATTTTTAGTTATTTAAGAAACATTCTAGTGCTGTCCAGATTCATCGACCGTTACGAAAATCGAATTTTCTTACAAACTGCTCTATCTTTTTCAATGAAACCAATTTTTCTTGAAAGCTAACTCTTTAAGGAAGTGTTTGACATAAAACCGAGGTCCAGGAGATTTTTTTGACATTTTTCTAGAATTTTTGAAAGTTGGCTGTAAAACTGGGTTTTCATGCATAACACTTAAAATAAGAAGATTGGTGAGAAAAGAGGCCAATTAAGGGGAATTTTTCACTTATTTTGTGATGAAAACATACTAAATAATGTATCAATAACTCAATTTTTTAGAGAGATGGTGTGTCTTTGGAAATGATGTGAGATATGGGAAGAAAAAGGTAGTTTTGTATCTATTAAGATAAAATATGAGTAAAAGAAGGATAAAAGCCCAACTCATCAACTTTGAACACATGAACACCATTACAACACATCTGAAAATATGATTTTAAACCTATAATAATATGTATTTGAAAAAGAAAATAGAATGAGAGATGGTGATGTGGTTTACTTGTTACCTAGTTGAAGAGTTTTCATAAAAGCTAAACCAAAATACTATATTGTTCAAAACTATCCATACCTCTTCATGGCTTCTATTGTTCTTCTCTTGTCTGAACTCCTCAAGCATCAAAGGCCAGACCCACACTTCCTATTATCACCACCTCCTCCTCCTCCTCCGCCTTCTGCCGCCTCGGCTCCTCCATACTCTCCGGCCAACTGGGTGGTTTCCGAGAAGTCGCCAAGAAATGCTATGGACAACTGCAACAAGGAGAAGGAAGAGGCAGCTGTTGATGAAGATCTTCCAGAATCGATGTTTTGCGCTGACCTCGTTTGGCCTTAGAATAAATTAATCTTTTAAGGCCTCGTTTGGCAATTTTTTGTTTTAGCTAAAAAGTCATTATAAATAGTCAAATCGCTTTCTCTACTTTTCTGGATAACTTTTTATAAAAAATCAAAAACTTACTAAAATAATCTATTTTCAAACGAGGCCTTAATTTGTTTGTACTTGATCTTAAGCCATTGTAATTTAGCCCTTTTTTTTTTGGTTTCAACGAAACTGTTGAACACACATAATTCCTTTTTTTTTTTGGTTTCAATGAAACTGTTGAACACACATAATTGGTTTTGTAGTAATTGCCAATGTTATATTTGAATTATAGATTTAAATAAGAATTTGGAATGAAAAGAGAAATTAGAAAAAAAATAATAATTTATATTTCATTCGAACTTATTTCATTTTTTTTAATTTAAATTTGTACTCAAATATATAATCTAAATACAGATTAAGAATGTGATTTTGGTGTTTGGGTAATTAGTGGTAGTGAGAGAATGATAAATCGTGTCCTGTCCACCAAAATTTAACTGAAACATGAAGGGAGCAAATGTTTTGCATATCAAATTGATCTTTCTATAGGACAATCAAGTGATTATGTGAAATGAGTTATTGATTTGCCACAAATCAAGGGATTTATTTATTTCTTATTATTAATTTTTATAATGGTTCAACTATATAAGAAAATTTCTCTTAGTTGTTGAGAGAGTCGGCCAAAACCAGTATGTAAGGTATACAAGGTAAAACTTGCAAGTAAGCCAAACATAAGGAAGGCGATTAGGTTTGCTCTTTTATTATTATATACGTCCTGTTTGGAAAGTGGATTTAGTGGATGTTTTGATTAAAATAGTTAATAAAGATAAAAATAAATTAAAATAGTTAATAAAATAAAATAAAATATCGTATCCAAATTATAATCGTTTTATTTTTTTTCCCTCTCAACGACCAAATCAACTACAAAAAAACTAATTATCATGTGCAATACAATTTTTTAACCAGATTAAAATAGTCAAATAATCAAAAAATTAAATAAAATAGCAAACTTTCCAAACGGGACCATATTATAATCACAAACATATAACAAAATGTATTAATGGTAAATTATACTATTAGTTACTGTAATTTTGTTGGAAAATAATAATTTTTTAGTGACTTCAATCCAAAATTAAAGTGGATCCTAATCGCCGGTTAGAATGGGTCCAAATGGGTCTAGATTCTTTATAGTGAGATCTTTATACCACAAAAATAATGACAAAAAATCATTGACAATCACTACAAGAAAAGTAACCTATGGTGACGAAAAGTAGTGAAGAAAATAAATTTCGTCATTAAATAAGAATGATCTGTGACGAATTATAAAATTTTGTCACATATAATAAAAAAATAAAGATAATAGGTGACAAAATTTATTTTCGTCAATAAATACTTCTTTTTAGGTGAGGAAAAATCAAATTTCGTCACCGAAAGTTTTCCCGCTAATTTTTTTTGGTGGCACCAAAATTTTGAGACTTTTGGTGAGAAATTTTTTTTGTCACCAATTATAAAATTATTAGTGAGGAATATATTTTCGTCACCAATAATTTTATATATATATTTTTTAGAAACTTGATTTTAAATATTTTAAGCACATTTGGTGAGAAATATATTTTTGTCACTAATAATTTTTAATATTTTGAAACTTTTTAGTGAGGAAATTATTTTGTCACTAATTTTGGAGGGAAAATTTTGACATATTAGGCGGTAATGAAAAAAAAATAGACTGCTAACTCCCCTCCTTTTTTTGTTTATCAGTTTTCCTCTCCCCCCTTTCTCTCTCTCTCCCTCTCAAAACTAAACACAGGTTAATTAGCTCTCTAAGTGACTTATGGTGACGAAAAAGTAATGAAGAAAATAAATTTCGTCACTAAATAAGAATAATCCATAACGAATTATAAAATTTTATCATATATAATTTAAAAAAAGGTAGAAATAATAGGTGACGAAATTTATTTTTGTCAATAAATACTTCTTTTTAGGTGAGAAAAAATTAAATTTCGTCACCAAAGATTTTCCCTCTAATCTTTTTGGGTGACGCTAAAATTTTGAGACTTTTGGTGAGAAAAAAATTTGTTACCAATTATAAAATTATTAGTGAGGAATATATTTTCATTACCAATAATTTAAATATTTTTTTTAAAAAATTGATTTTAAAAATTTTAAAACTATTTGATGAAAAATATATTTTCATTTTTGGTGAGAAAATTATTTTATCACTAATTTTGGAGAGAGAACTTTGTGATATTGGCAGTAATGAAAAAAAAAAAAACCTACTAATTTTCCCCCTTCCTTTTTTTTTGGTGCTTGAGTTTTCCTCTCATCCGTCTCTTGCAAACACACGTTTTCTACCTTCAGCCCCCCTTTTCCTCCTTTAGCTTGTTCTCTTTCTTCAGTGCCACCACTAACATCACTCATTCTCCTCCTTCACCATCGACGTTACCCGTTTTTTTTTTCTTCTTTTTTTTTCTTTTATGACTATTTAATTTTTTTTATAAAAAATTAAATATTTATATTATACCTAACTAAACAAAAATTTAAAATTTAAAAATATATATAGGAGTATATAATTCACTCCACCATTGAAAATATAAAAATCACTTGAGATTAATTTTTTTTTTTTGGATCATCAGACCACTTGGTCTCTCTTATCCTTTTCATTCTCTCATCTCTCTCTCTCATTTGTGCTCTCCCAATCCTGAAGCTTCTCATCATCGACCCCCTTAGTCTCTCTTATCAATGACTATGAGAGTCTCTCTCTCTCTCTCCATTGTTCTCTTCGATGAACAAGGGACTATCAGCAGGGGTCTCTTCTCGTTGTCGATCGGTCTCTCACACAGTCGACATCCTACCCCCCTCTTTCTCTCCATCTCTTTCATCTCTCTCCGGTGAACATCAGTTGATGAGGATCTAACATCTCAAACCCCTCTTCGGTAAACATTAGTAGACGAGATCAAATATCACAAACCCTTCTCGCAGATCGCAGCCCTATTCGTAGATCGCATATCAAAAGCCCAAATTCGTAAGCATATTGAAATACAGGTATTTCTTGTTTAAATTTACTTTAAATTTTGGAATCTTTGCTTGAGATTGCTTGACATTGTCGTTGTTTGGTTGAGAATTGTAGAAATTTGTTTGAGATTACCAATAAGTTTTTTGAAATTGATTGTTGCTGTCGTTTTTGGTGAATTTTTTTTTTTAAAAAAAAAAATGAGTTTGTATGAATCTCATACATACAAGCCTTTCGCATCTTATTGGAACTAAACCATTGAATTTAAGTATTTGATGGGTAAACTTTAAAGCTCTATATTCTAAACTTTACTGAAAATAAGAGTTGAGCTTGTTATACTTTTGCTGTGATGATTGGAACTTTTTAACTGGCTCTTTTGGAATCCTTGTGGACTTTTTCAGTGTTCAATACTCTCATTTGTAAAAAAAGAAAAATTACACATGCACTCATGCACTTCATTTTGGTTGAATGAACTTGTTTGGGAACTTAATGTCAAATGTCTGGTACCATTTTTACTATATTCACAACTAATTTAGAAAACACCTCTTTAATCTTCCTATTTGTCAAAACAATGATTTGTCAGTTATCCATGGAGTTTATGTAGTTTTTCATAATCATGCTAACAAGGTGGATGGTATTTCTCTTAGAAAATCTCATCATTGACAACTCCATAATGGCTACACATTGCCAAATGCTACTTTTACTATCACATTATCTATGAATTTATATCATTCATTCAGTGTGATCAATGATACACATAACAGCACATAATTAATCATTTGATAGTTAAGAGAAAAGTTAACTTTTTTGTAAAACAATAGTTAAAATAAAAAAATCACTCTTTCAGTATGAGTTATTTCAGAAATATGAATTTTTCTATTCAAGCCCATTCCTGAGCCAAAACAAACCAAGGTGATCAGATGTGATCGGCTGTAGGTTTGTGGGTCCCACACCTGTAGCCAATCACAACCGGCCACCATCTTCGCCAGTTTCAGTCCAGAGTGGGCTTGATCATCATTTACCTCAAAATATTGCATATCAATTGTTGATCTAATAGAACACAAATAGAAGAACAGGAAGAATTAAATTCCATTCAAACAGTCATTTTCTCATTAAAGAAACAAAGGAATTGATTCTCTTTTCTTCTTTACTTTATTCCTAAGCTGTTTTGAGATGAATATTGATTATGATCTAACCAAGCATATTTACATAAATTGGAAAGTAAATGAGAGAACAGACAACAATAGACCTCTACTACTAAAGTCTTAAAAAAAAAAAAACACACAGTTAATTAAACAAGTAATTTTCAATTTTTGATTGTATTGCATCAATACCAATGCGTTTGAAGGTGGCATGTCCATGTCAAACATTGACACTCGTTGGACACTTCACAGCATGTGTCAGACATAGGTCCAAACATACCTTTTTATTTTTTATATCTTTTCCTTCACATTTCAAACACTTGGGAGACACATGTGTCCATCCCTTAAAGTTACTTGGAAACTCATTACAAGTTTGAACAAAATAATTTGGGATCCAATGATAAAAGAATAACAACATAGATTTATGCCTATTAATTCCTTTTCTTTTAAACTTTAGAAATTAGTGTTATCTTCTATTTTTCATGATCTTTAGATTAAATATTCATGATGACATATAATAAATACATAAAGCCATACATTTTGTGCATGTTTACCACATGCAGTGTCTTGCATGTTTTAAAAATTGGCGCTTTAGCTTGTAATGTGTCATGTCGTGTGTACATGTCCATGTTTCTTAGGTTCAAAACTAAATTATCTAAGGTTATCAGCTCAATTTAAATTAAACCCTACTAGACTAGCGTTAGATAAAAACCCACTAAATGACGCAAATGCAATACATCTTACATTCTCCACAAAGTCTGTCTGTGTTTTCTAATTATAGCTTCAATCTTCAACTTCAATCTTCTCGAAACTCAACTATAAAAAAGAACTAGACTCAAGAATTTGAAAGAAATTTCCAACACAAGAATGAATAAGGGGTACACAACTCATTTATCCTTACACTATACTCTCACTTGCTCTGCACCTCCCTCTTCTTTTTTTCATCCTTCTTCTCTCTTCTTCATCATACAAATCTTAATTACAGTAAGCACAAATTACCAAACATGCTTTCTTGGTTAATGTGAAACTACACGTCTGACACACATACCATACGTGTAAAAGGTTCCAAAATGTTTGCTTCACACAATGAGAAGGTCACATAGCTATGCTTTTAGATTCTATGTTACTTACACTTTTTGAATAAGCAATGGCTTTACACACCTATGCCCATGTTTGATAACCTGCTTGGAGGCCTTCAACCCAGTTTGATCGAGATTGACAAAAATGTAGAACCACATGGAACCCATGCGTTTTTTGTAGTTCCCTAAACTTGTGTCAGTTTGGCAATAGGCTTGTGATTACTAGCCCGATGGGATTGCTAATCACCCAAAATGGTAGGTTTAGCAATCCACCGCCCCCATGGTATTGTTAATCTAAAAATAATTTTCCTCTCTTATCTCATCATCATGTTATAATCAAATATAGAACAAATATCCCCACTCTATTATTAATGCCATCCATCATCCCATGGTATTTGTGTCAAACCCACAAAACGTTTACTGATGATCAAACATGTTTTGTCACATGCATATATCTATCTTAACAAAAGGTTCATGTTTCCAATAAAATTTGAATTCCATTAATTTGGAGATTAGAAATGTATTGGGCCCCAATCAAGGTTTTAAAAAGCGGCCGCAACCGTTACGTAACGCCGTTACGTATTGGTTGTGGTGGTTACTGTAACAACCCTCATACTGTTTACCGATTAACGACTGATTGAGTACCGATAAACAGTGATTACCGTTAAACTGAACTAATTATGACTGATAATTGGACTGGTTAAAGTACTGAACTGACTGACTGAAAACTGGAACTGAATTGACTGAGTATGTGTGTTAATTGGTATTCTATCTGTTTGATTGTTTCTTTGATCTGTTCACGTGTTCTGTTTAAACTGCTAATTGAAGGCCTTATCGGCGGCCGAAGCCGGAACTAAATCGAACCAATGTAGTGGGATTTTGGAAACAGAGTTTCCAAAAGCCTGAGCCAAATGGGGTCGTCGAAAGTGGTTGTTTTGGGTTCATCAAAACTTTGTACAACAATCATTTTTTCAGTGTGCCAATTGCCAAACCAAAACAGACGAAAATTGAAGCAGATTTCTAATCTTAACACTTGTTTCAGTTTTTTCTATGTTTTTCCTCGAATTTCAATGCGTAGATGGAAAGATGTGTGGGTTTGGATTGGCCCTTGTGGAATTAATGCACAGGGAGAGAACAAAATGATAATATGTATTTTTGAATTAATGTAGCATGAAAACCAACTTACTATTAAAATAAATATGCAAATCTTGATCCTTACCAAAAGATTAGAGACAATCAACGAAAAATTTAACACAAATTCATTGTAAATTGGGCCTTTCAGTGATCCAGGTTCTGCTCACCAACTTACTACTGCTCACCCAGGTTCTGCTACTCTGCAGCCTAGTTTTGCCGTCCAACAGCCCAATTCTGTTGTCCTGCAACTCAGGTCTGCTGCCCTATAGCCCCCAACTCTACAACTCAATTTTGTAGTTCCTAGGTCTCCTTCTATGCCTGCAGGTCCACAGTCTAGTGTTGCTGTTCCACAGCCTAGTTCCCTTTTGCCACAGCCTAGTCCATTTTTCACAGCTACTTTTATCCCTCTGCAACCTACTTTTTCAGACCCATCTGATCTTGCTGTCTCCCCTAATCCTTCTATACCTATACAGTCCATTTTTATACCAGTAGTTTGATAGCTTGATGAAGTCAATGACATCAGAATTTAATTATAGTTTTTCAGCTTTTACTTTTTATTAGTGTCTTTTTTACTCTTTCAGGATGGTTTATAATTTCTGACTTCAAATTTGGCTCGTAGGCAATTTAAGACTTGAGAAAATAAGATACAGATAATAAGGCTTCGGAATATTAATTGACATACACAATTTGGTTGGAGCAAGTTAACTAGGAGACCTTGTTTGAAGCTTGCTATGTTTGCATCAGGTCTCTCTTCTAGCTTTCATACCAATTATTTAACAATTTCCCATCAGTGCATGTCACATGATGATTCTAATCTTTTGACCTTCATATACAGTGAACATATGCTCAGTTCAATCAATATTTAAGTACTTTGGTGAATTTCCAAATTATTAATGTTGATTTTATTTATTAAGTACTTTGGTTCTACGTGCTGCATAATCCCATTTGGGTAGACCTCAGGCCACTATGCTCCAACTTGCATGAGTATAAGAAATAGAGAAAATGCAGCAAACCTTTGTACCTATTTGAACATTTCTGGAGTTTTTGTGACTTACAAGCTTTCGAACTTTTTTATTTTTTGGTAATTGTAAATTTCCATGTTGTTCTGCATACTAATGTAGATCCAATGTGTAGATTTCAATATACTCTATGCTCTGTTGCATCCTAACTTACATCAATGCATGAAAAAAGAATACAGAAAATCTAATCGAATCAAAGCTTTGCTTCCCAAATTTCAAAAATGTTACTCTCATTATAGTAAATTGAACTTGTTAAATAATTGGTTAGAATCTAGATATGTTTGTCTTTGATTACTCAACTGCTGCTGTCTTTTGCTGTTCCAAGCCAACCTCATGGATCCATCACCATGCATGATGCAACCGATTGGATCAGAGTGAGGACCATTTGCAACAATTATGTGGACAACCATAACTTGTTGCAAAAGATCGAAGACGATGATTTTCCATAGGTCAGCACCACTTTTGGATTGACAAAGATACTTTTACCATTATTATTTTCTTAGAGAATTAGCACCCCAGCAATAATCACTTGCATCAGTCTGAAGAACTTGAATCAACTAGGCATGACTTAGAAGGCTCTTGGGTGGCAAGGTAATGAATAGAGTAGTTATCGGATTTGGAATTTCAAATTTCACCAAAAATTGAGACAAAAATTGCGCGTTGTTTTAATGCTTGGCTTGTTTAATAATCGAGTCAAGTTTGAGTAGAGAGCTTGGTTTGAATGGGTTCGTAGACACAAAGAAATAAATTAATGTTTATTTTAATAATATATTAAGTATATTTGTATAAGTTTATTTTATTTATTTATTTATTGTTTATATTTGATGTTTGTGCAAATTTTCATATGGTCAAAGTTTGCTTATTGTTTACTGTTTGTTAATTTCTGGTTGGCCATAACAGATAACTTTTTCTTGGACATAATCATGTTGGTTGTTCTTTTATTTTAAAAAATATGGTTTCATTTGGGATGTGTTGGCCTGAATTGCAATATTAAAGCGAAAGACTTAGTAATTCTATGTTTATCATGCTGTAGAAAATTGAAGATCATGATTCAAACTTAGTCATAGGAAATTAAGCTTTTAAGTATGTCAATTTATTTAGGAACTTGAATGGATTTGAGTTTATAGAACATATGTTATTAAAATTTCAAAACTAGTCAAGACATATTAATTTGCTACTATATTTGCTACTGCCAATAAATGGAGTGTGTTTAGTTGTTGTTACTGATGAATCACTACAAGAATTTTCACTTTTGGCCGAAGGGCTTTAGCGACTAAATTTTTTGGTCGCAAAATTAGTAGCCGAAGAGTAGTCAGGAAAGCTAATTGGCGACTAAAATTATGTATTCATTTTCCGACTAAATATTTAGTCGCCAAAAGGTTAGACAATAGTGCCTAGTAGACACCCTCGACTGTGCCCCTAGTCTCGGTTTAGACGATACTCCTATCTACTATGTGTTTACTTTTTTGTGTATTTTTGCTAGGCAGTGTTGGAGTTGCTCTAAGTTAGTGATGTGATTAATAATGGGTGTGTCTTTGATTGAGTTTTTCACAGTAGAAGAAATGAAGCAACATTTATTGAGTCTCAGGCAGTGGGTTGGTCAAGTTTGTATATCACTTTATGATTGCTACTATTTTGTATATATCATTAGGATGGTTTAGCATAATAAGGACTTTTAATAGATTGATCCATTTGAAGGTTTTCCCTGTACTCAACTTAGTGAAGCCACATTTCAACTACTTTGTCCTGGCTAAAGAAGTCTTTTCTTGAGATCATGTGCTTTCTCACAACTTACATTCATATATGTTGGTCTATCTCTTGTTCTTGAGGCTTCAGCTTCTCCCTCTTAGTGGTGTTGTCCTTGTTATTTGACACAAACATTCAATTCGTGTTAGCCGACCAATCATATATTGCCTTCATTGTGCTCAATTGGACTATATAAGAAGCAAAGGAGGAATATTTAACAAACCTTATTTTTACTTGGTGTTACCTTGAGTTGCATCTCCTGACACCCACAAAAAGGGAGGTGCATAATTCAAGTCCCTGTTAGGACCCACTCTATCAGAAAAGAACTAATCTTTGTAATTCAGTTTCCAGGACTCGCTGTTGTCATTTTGCCTCAGATAAATTTATTTGCACCTCATTTGTGTGTGACAGAGTGAAATAAAATGATTCTGTGCTCTGTCCCACCTTGATGTGTTGATTGCCAAACATAACCAAACATTCAAACCACACCACCCAAACCATTCTTCTCACCCAACTATCACATGGCTTCGTTTTCCATTTATTTAAGGCAGTGTCACTAAATCTTGAATATATATAACCAGCCCATTTCCTTTGCTTTCCACCAAGCACACAGATACAGTATTTCAGTCTTTCGAGAATCATATATTGCCTTTCTAGTCTATCATTAACACAAACATGATCAATTCTAAGAAGCTCATCAAAATGGTGAGGAAGTGGCGAAAACTTGGCTTCTATCAGTCGCAAAAGAATCACCTTCTCAAGAACAACCGGAGGTGTTGATAATGCAGAGAGTTGCAACACATCTTAAGATCCTGGTACATCTTATTTCCTCCTGGATGAACTGCAAAAATCGAATGGTGAAATTCTTTAAGTACTTCCTCTCTTAATTGTTCAATGTTTGGCACAAAAATTCTACCTAAATACCTTAAACTACCATCTTGATGGAGTGTCCAATCCGTTGAAGATTCCTCGATCACTAATCAGGCCTTGATGAAGTTGGTCTCCTGATCAAATCTTTGGGCTTCCAACACTTTGGTAAGAAGTTGGGGTGTTGTAACTATTGTAAACAACCTACCCTTTCCATTCTGAGTCTCTGGTTGTAACTTAAAACCATTCACAGTGCTTACCATTTCCCATTCTTTAATTGATATGTTGGCTACAATCTCCCTTGTCTTTCGACTTAGTGCATCTGCTACAACATTAGCCTTTCCGGGATGATAAGACAAGGTAAATTGGTAATCTTCAAGGTACTCCATCCAGCGTCTCTACCTCATGTTCAAATCTCTTTGTGTGAACAAGCACTTCAAGCTTTTGTGATCGGTAAATATCTCAAATTTTTCGCCATAAAGGTAATGTCGCCAAGTCTTAAGTGCATAGACCACAACTGCCAACTCCAGATCGTGAGTAGGATAATTTTTCTCATGATTCTTCAATTGTCTTGATCCGTAAGCCACTACCTTCCCGTTTTGCATTAACACACTACCTAACCCTTCTTTAGAGGCATCACAGTAAACAGTATACCCAACGTCGCGTTCGGGTATGATTAATATTGGAGCGCTTGTCAGTCTCTTCTTGAGTTTTTGAAATGACTGCTCACACGCTTCGTTCCATTCAAACTTTACTCCTTTTTGCGTTAGGCGTGTCATTGGCTTGGCTAATTTGGAGAAATCCTGAATGAATCTCCTATAATAACCTGCTAATCCCAAGAAACTATGAATCTCAAACGTATTCTTAGGTTGTTTCCACCCCATTACTGCTTATACTTTAGCAGGATCCACTGATATCCCTGATTCGGACACAACATGACCTAAGAACTTTACTTCCTTCAACCAAAATTCACATTTGCTAGCTTTAGCATACAATTGGTTTTCTCTTAGAGTTTGCAAAACGGTTCTCAGATGTTGCTCGTGGTCTTCCTCCGATCGTGAGTATATCAAAATATCATCAATGAATACTACCACAAATTGGTCTAAATAGGGGGTAAAAATTTTGTTCATTAAACTCATGAATACCCCAGGAGCATTTGTCAAACCAAATGGCATTACCACAAACTCATAGTGGCCATAACGAGTTCGAAATGCAGTTTTGGGTATATCTTCTCCTCTGACACGAAGTTGGTGGTATCTCGACCTAAGGTCAATTTTGGAAAAACATTTTGAACCTCTTAATTGATCGAACAGGTCATCAATTCTGGGTAAAGGATATCGATTTTTAATGGTGGCTCGATTTAGTTGTCGATAATCGATGCACAATCTTAAGGTTCCATCCTTCTTCTTGGCGAATAATGTTGGCGCTCCCCAAGGGGACGTACTTGGTCTGATGAACTTCTTACTCAACAGTTCTTGCAACTGCTCCTTCAATTCTCGAAGTTCAGCTGGCGCCATACGATGTGGTGCTATTGAAATCGGTGAAGTCCCGGGTTGAAGCTCAATCGTGAAATCTACATCTCGTTTTGGGGGTAACCCTGGTAATTCATCAGAGAAAACGTCAGCGTACTCACACACCACATGGGGTAATCCTGGATCCTCTCGATTTTCGCCTTCCAAAATTAGGCTTGCCAACCATCCGATTAGTTGATCATGCCGTCCCGACTTGCGACACGTTGGAGTTAAAGAATCTTGTCTATCTCCTTTAAATTGGACTTTCGTGCCGTTAAGGAAGGATGCTGTCACTGTCCTATGGTAACAATCAATAATGGCTTGATGAACTGACAACCAATCCATTCCTAGGATGATGTCAAAATCAGACATATCCATAACTCTTAGATCACAGATCAAATATGAACCGGAGATTTCTAGCTCACAAGATTTACATACTAGATTTACTCG